CTACTACTTCTACTACTACGACGACGACGACTACGACGACGACTACTACTAATAATAATAATAATACTACGTTCCAGAGTCTCGGACTTCTCTCTCCGTCGGCTTCTGGCAACGAAGTGATAGCTGGACCGCTTGATCTCTGCTTGGTCTGGAAAAGAGACTTATCTGCACATGCCTAATTCATAATCAATCACCCGGAAGCACACTGTGATACGAGCGTGCTCGTAGGTCTGTATGCATGTATATTTTTGCCTTGCAAGTATATGGATAATTCGGAATAGTGCACACATTACTGCAAAGGCACGGCATGCACGCGTGTAGGTGGAGAGTGGCAACTTCTAAGCAGCCACGGTCACTAATCAACGTCAATGGACGAAGTCAAACCGAAAGGCAGTGGAAACTGCTAAAATCCGCGAGAACAGACCACACCACGGAAAGTAGCGCAGTATACCGCGCCTTGTAGAAGTCGCCCACAGGCAGATTGGTCAGCTGAGGATACTTGGCGATGACTTCTCGCAGCCGCCTCCGCGATCCTTGGATGTCCATCATGCTTTCCGCCCGTAGGCCTTAGGCCCTTGCCACTGCAGGCCGCAAAATGTTCCCTGCTCAGTGTCCCAGCACATTGATGAGCGCCGGGAGCGTCGCACGCATGAGCTTCGAGTTCTTCGTGAGCAGATATGGGCATTCGAAAACCGCTTCCTTCGCCGCCTGGCGTTCCAGGGTTCTGGGGCGTCCCGGCGTCACTTGAAGGCCTGGCAGGGCCTGGCAGGGCCTGGCCTCCTCCCCCAAGTAGATGCTTAGGAGGTGGAGGGCGTTCCGCGCAGTTCGCCGAGGCATTCGGAGGATCGAGGGCTCGTCCTCGAGACTCAGAATCTCAAGGCCCGTGCCCGCAATCCAAAACGGTACCCGTCCTCTATCAACTGGTTGACGAGTTCCGGGCTTCCGAAGATGTCTACCATATCCTCCCATCGGCGGATTAGGATGTGCTCCTGACACGGCTCATGGGAGCGTCACTTCTGCATTGAGTCCCTCAAACCTTTCTCCTCTGTGTTGACTCGAGGAAACGTCCGCTGGAAGATATCAAGGGCAAAGTCAGCTTCTTTGGGCGGTGGTCGCCGAAAACCTGCCCAACTCAACTCCACATCACGCCATCAAAAGGCGCAACAAACCATCGCCCAGTAGATAACTGCACCCGACCCCCTTAAATTGGTTTTGTTCAAGCAGGCCCACCGTAACCACCCCGCTACGCCTGTTTCCGGGTCTCGCAGCTTTGTGGTCCTCTGCCGCATTGCGAGCGGGGCCGGAGGGGGCAGCTTGACGCCCCCAGGCAGCATCAGCGCAAGGCCGAGGAGGCCATGGCGTCCCCACACAAGCGCTGTGCCCAGGAAAAGCGTAGCAAAGCGCTGCCAGCCCGGACCCCTTCTGGGCAGGGAGAACCGGCGGCTTGCAGAGTCATCTGCGTGTGCTGATGTCAGGCATCCGCCCCACGAATGCCCTGACACCGCCAAGCTCATCTCGCCACCATTGCAGAACGCCGCTGAGAGGACCTCCTACCTGAACCGATGGTCGAAGCCATCTGGAACCACGATGGCAGCCGAAAGCTCCAACTCAGAGGGATTCACAGATGAACGGTTTTCGCGATGCTAATTCCATCTGGCCCTCTTTTGCAAGCCCTCTGCAAATCCCGTGGTCCCGTCGCCTCCAACGGAGAGATATTCTTGAGCACCTGGCGCGGAGGGACCCTTGGTCGGCCCCACTTTTAGCTTGGATAAGTCGGGCGAATGGGGCGGCACAGCACAACCTGGCAGAGGTGCCAACGGCTCGGAGAGCGGGTGCAGCGGGCAGTTGCGCTCCCACAGATATCCTGACGTAAGATGGCGCCCAACTCACGCAACATTTGCTGCAAAACAAGAACAGGGAGCCAGCCAATCACCGATGGCAGCGAAGCGATTGTTCACGAATGGCAGAGAAGCGATTGGTCAAAGACTATGTTTGGGAACCGACACGAAACAAAATTCGTTGGAGCTGTTGCCTTCCAGACTTCGCCCCAATTTTCCAACCAGGCAGGCTTGGGGCACCACTTCGAAAGCCCTAGCGTCCTGGAGCGCCTTTGAACTGTTTTCTGCCGCCCACGGAAAGTATCCATCTTACAACTGAGGCACTGAAGGAAACGGACGTGGCGGACAGCTCCAACAGTGGAAGCACCTCGCCGAGAAAACGTTCAAAGCAGACTCGAGGGGGCCTGCTGGATGAAAGTGGAAAGAAGTCGGGGAACGACGCGTACTAGTACAACCCGAAAACTCTATTGACGAGCATCTAAAAACCTGTTGCTGGCTTGCTGGTGGGGCGCAAAGTTTCCTTGAAGCTCGGTCTTGTAGATGGCATTCCCTTTCCGGTCGTTGCCACAGAGCCTCGGCTGTCATCTGCGAACGCATCTAACGCATCGAAGCTGCACTAGAATCGCCTGGCTAGGAGGGGTTTAGGAAGCTGCATTTGGTGAGCCTCGTGACTCGGTGCAGACCAAGGTGTCCGAGAGCGAGCCAGGCTTGGGGCTCGAGGCATTGAAGACGAAGCGGAAGGCGCATTTCCCGTCCAAAGTCCTCGGAAGACTCTGCACCGGCTACTGCATCTACAAAGAACCAACCCGCTCCCACTTCTCCACACCCTGCATCCCAAGAACGTACGACCTGATTCGGGGGGCCCTTGCAAGTTTGCAGTGTAATGCCCCTATACTTCCTCGCCAATGCCCCGTGTTTTATTGCCATGGCAGGAGGACTTGCAAACCATGATTTCATGGGATTCACCATCCGTCAAGAGGCGGGTGAAACAAATCCAACAGGTCACTGGGCTCTAAATGCCCGAGAGAGTCGCCGGAATCACTCGCAGCATCGCTATCGTGCAGATGGCTTCTAGCGGTATCCACAGATCCTGCTACAAGCTTAGCAAAAGCAAAGAAATCTGGCGGGTCCCCCAGATCTTGGTCAAGAAAGTCTCCACCACCTGCAGGAGCTTCGCTGTGCACCCTGGAGGCCTCGATGACGGTGGACTGCAACTGATCCGGATCGTCCCCGGCTTCCCAAGACGACCGCCTAGCCTTGGAGCTCTGCACGTTGGCGAAGAGCACGCTCATCCCTGCCGAGAAATCCGAGTGCAGCGCGGAACCCGGAGTTGAGACTGCAGCTGACTTTGGCTGCGGCTGCGGCTGCGGCTTCGGCAGGAGCGCTCGCTTGTGGAAGAGATGGCTGAAGGCCGACTCCAGGTCTGTGGAAGGAGGTTTCGGTGGTACCCTGACAGGCACAACCTCCGGCTCCTTATGCTTCGGCTTCCGGGCAAAGAGGAGGTCCAGCTCCTCCTCCGCTGCAGAGGCTCTAGGCAGGCGGCTCTTTGCCAGCGGTGCGAAGAGGTCATTCAAGCCGTCTTCGATGCCGCTCTCCGCAGTGCCGCCCTGACTGGGGCCCACACCCTCTTTGGAACTCCGAGCCGGCGAGGCCTCGCCGCCCGCGCCGCCCGCGCCGCCCGGTGCTGGGTTCTCGGAGGTCTCGGAGGTCTCGGCCTCGACAGGTTGCGGCTTGCCGAGCATCGCTCCCAAGGCTTCGGTGTCGGCCTGATAGGCTTGGTAGGCCGCCGTGCCCCACGGCGACTTCACCATCTTCTCCCAGCACTTGGGGCAACATCTGCGAAGCAGCCACTGAAAAAGACAGGGGATGCAGATCAAAGAGGGTAGCCCCACCACAATCCACAGGATCAGCTCCATCGTCTCCAGGTTGCTCCCCGGCAAAGCCACGCAACGAGCTTCGCCCTCTTCCATCCTGCACCGGGTGCTCAGAGGACAAAGCTTCTCGCATTCCGAGCCAGTCTCCAGCTCACCCCTTTCGGAGAGAATGGCGGAGACAAGGACCGCGACCAAGGCAACGTAGCCAGCCACGAAGCACACGACGACGCAGACCCGGAGCCGACTGTAGAAGCGCGTCTTCTTCCTTTTGGACGGCTCCACCGCCCGAATGGCACGGGCTGCCTCTTCCTGTGCCTGTCTCCAGTCCTGGTAGGTGTCTGCCTGTACCCTTGCTGGCTGCGACCTCTCGCTGACACGCTGCGACTTGGGGCTGTCATTAGACTTTCGCGAGTGTCGCGAATGACGAGAGGGTCTCGGCGGACTTGCTTGTGAAGGCCGGGCGGGACGTGCCAAGGTGTCGAAAGTGTCATCATCGACAGAATCAATCCACTCTCGGCCGGGTGGCTTCGGCATGGCCCAAGTGCTTCCATGGCTGGGTGCCCAACTCTCCCCACCCTTCCCGGCCTGGTCGCCACACATGCCCACACAGCAAAGACAAGCAAAAAGCACAAAGCGGTTTTGCGGGGCGTGCCTTTCCGTACGTGCAGCCGAGTTGCACGGTGTCCGGGACTACCGAGAAGATTCGAGCATCGCCTTCGCATAAAAGCAGGCAACACACGAGATGGGTGCAGTGCAAAGGTTTCCGCGCTCTTAGAGGTCGTGTGTCAGCCACTCGCCGATATCACCCGAATCACCCAAAACCGGCCACCATGTCCACACCCTCCCACGGACCTCATGACATAATCCGACACGCTGCCGTCCCGGTCTAACAGATGTCACACAGGACCGCTTAAACATTGTGAAGTGAAGCCAGACAGCTTTACCTTATGCTTATGTTCTGCCTTCTTCTGCCGGCTTGTCCTTCGTTGGTGTCTTTCGGTCCTTCTTCTTGGTTTCTTCTGACCTGCGGCACAGGACACTAAGTGTCGCGTATGACCTGGTCGACAACACCTCCTTCTAGCCGAGCAGCTCGAGCGTCCAAACTAGCTTTCGCGGTTGGCGCCCGCGATTTTCGATCACCACCTCCCTCGAGTGCGTCTGAGTCGTGTACTGCGTACCGAAGTCGATGAGCTCCAGCCTCAGTCTTGCGCTTTCTGACGAGCATGAAGACTAAAGTTGAGGCCGAATTCAAGTCTCAACGGCTTTCAAATTTTCATCAAGCGGCGACTCCTTGCAGGTCACAGGCGTGCCAATCCCTTTGGCACGTACCGTCACTGCGACGTCGTTACTCTCGTGCACGATGACCTGGCTTGCCGTTGTGTTCGTACGCAGCGATAAGGCGAATCTCATTGCAGTCCAGCAGCATGCGCGATGTCTGTCATCTTGGCCACTTCGTCAATGGTCAGCGTCATGTACCTTATATCTTAGGCGCCAGCAAGCAACCAGCGGCTGTTGGAAAGCTGCAGCCAAAAGGCAGGTATGCGGACTCGTGGGGTTGCAGTTCCATGGCCTTGGGAGACAACGTCCAGAGCGAGTTCCGCGTCTTCATGATGCAGCGAACCTTGGATTCAAAGCTGCACCATACTCAGAGCAGCCTCATTCCTCACCAGAACAATAACATCTTCCACCACGCCGACATCGTCATTATAACTACAACTGCCACCATCAACATCAGAATCGTGATCTGCATCATCCTCATAAGGATCAAAGCCACCATGCAGTACCATCATCACCACCATTACTGTATCAGCATCATAAGTCAGGAGCCTCTTCCTCCTCCGCAAATTCGGTTTGGACATCTATCAATCCCTTAACCTTCAGAAGCAGCGACTCGACGCTTCAGAAAGGGGGGTTTGTGCATGGGCGTGAACCGCTTTTGCCAGGCGTCCGACGCTGGGATCACGGAGTTGTTGCTGACCAACACAGACCGCGTGATGGGCTCCAAGCAGTGTGAATTGCCCCAATCCACGACGCTTGGCTCAATGTTGACGATAGGCCCAATCGTATTGGCAATCAAGATCACCGTATCTTGGCAATGCCCAGAAATCGCAAACTGAGCAAACCAAGGCAAGGCCGACAGGCGATGAAATGCAACTTGCGGCCCGGTGTCTGGCAGAGTTGTGCCCGAGAATCCGGATGGTGATCGGAATCTGCAGTGTTCCTATCACTTGTGAGGTGAGAGTGAAGGTGAGGACCTCGGAGCAACAGCGGGCGCTTCGCAACGAGCTGCTAGCTGCGTCATGGTGATCATGATTCTCAGCCATGAAGATCTCCAAACTGTCCTAAACGTCCGCTGAGCCCCTTTCGCTGCCAAGCTGCATGCGAGGAAGCCGGGGGCACTGAGCCGAAGGACTGATCGGGCTCAAACTCTGCAATGGACCTCCTCAGAGTTTAAAACCGGATAAGCGAAGAACTAAACAAAAGATAAGGAAATAGAATCCCGTATCATATCACTTCATTTCCTGAACTTTCTTGTCCCATGATACCATATCATGTAATGAGCTTTGGCTCGATCCCTACTGTATCGTAGCAACCAAGCTTCGTCGAATCGTCCTGGGGCATGATCTGAAACTTTGCTGGCAAGGCCGAGGTGTTGTTCAGCACCTGGGGCATGCTCCGGCACAAGTCAAGAGCAGCTCTCGCGAAACATGCCCTTACAGCGAGCTATGTGTCTGCCTGGATTTTGCTCACGATGCGAGCCCTGAAACCTATGACTCATACCCTTCCCCTACACAGCCCCACGAGTCAGTTCTAAACAGCCTGAACACGGCCAATTCTGGCCGGGAATTCAACCTGTGCCCATGCACTGGAATGCTGCCAAAGCAACCAAGGTCTGGTGCGAGGGGTATCGGATGAAGATGTCACCTTTCTCTTCCATTCATGTACTGGTCAGCTTCAGCCCAGTGAGGTCTCGTGCCTATTGATTGGTGTGAGGCCTGTCCTATGCCCGACGAATCACAAGCGAGACTCGAAAACCCCTCTTAACGTGTATACCCCGCACTCAGTACATCCAGGAGGCCTAAACTCTGGGAGCCCCTCTTTTCGTTCCTTACACCCCCTCCACACCCCATGCATTCTACCCAAGGAGCCGTACTCCAGGTGTTCCGAAGGCTCCAGCGCCACTTGAGGTACTGCACATCGCGCTTGGATTGGGATACTCGCCAACTCCTGGGTTGGAGCATAACAGTATACTGCTACAAAATACTTGCAATGATAACAACAAAAGTGGCCTTTTTGCACAAGGGACTCGATTGCTGCCCTTACTCCCAAGCTGCAGCTCGACCCACAACACAGTACTGGGTTTTTTTGCAGTGGGTTTAGGGTTTAGGGCTTAGGGTTGTAAGGGTTTCGGGTACTCTAGCTATTTGGCCTTAAGGGTGCCTGTTTTGCTAGGGGGTACTTGTTCAGCGGTTCTTCCTTTGTGATGACCACGGCGTCCAAGGTTTTTTGGTCAGATCCTACGATTCAGAATTTGTGATCTTTGCGGGCATTTGTTAAACTTAGGGGTGCCCTATTTGCACTCTTCCAACTCAGACTCGCCAGATGAGGTCTGTTGGCTCGCGGCGGTACAGTAAGACTTGGTTTAGTGATCACGGTGGCATTAAGGTGCGTATCTTACTATTCGTTGTTTCAGAAAATTTACACGATGGTTCTGCTTCGGTGGAGGTATCATAGTAGCGACTTACGGCGAAGCTTGTAACTGGACTGAATTGAATAAACGCCGGCACGGTATTTTGAGACTATGGACGTAGGCGACCAGGACTCGTCCTGCTACCACTAGGTCATGACCGATTTCGCTTGTTGACTTGCTGGTGTTGGCTGGTTCGTCTTGCTTGTCAAGTGGCCATACAGTAGCTGCTAATATTTACTGACTTGATTCTACTGCTGTGGTTTTTGCCTAGGTTGCTTGTGTCGAGAAGCACTGCGATTGCATGTGCAGGTCAACATGCGACCAAATGCTGCTCAGGCACCTGTCCGACACCGTCGAGATCCACCACTAAACAAAGATCGTACGACTTGACGTTGAGGCCTGGTTTGCAGACGCAGAGACATGCAAGCGAAACTCAGCACTGTCGTCCCTGGTCGTCTCAGAGGCTCACTAACGAAGTCGATTTGGATCTTCTGAGAGCAATTCGGCAGCAGAGTGCCCTTCGGCGGTATCACATCGAACTCACCTCAGCTTTGCCGCTCACACACGGAAGGCAGGCCCGGGTCAGTATAGCCCAGCACGTTGAACATGTCAAAGAGCCCAGTACACTTGAACAAACTCCAGGCCAAGCGTCGTTGGTTACTTCGCCCATCCCCCGGAATGCGCAGAGCGAACCGCATCGGAACCTGGGCATCTTTCAGCATCAAGACAATCCGTTGCCCGCCGCTCTTGGCCACAAGGGCTTCAGATCCGAAATTTTGTTGTTGCTCTTGCTGTCGCTGGTCTCCCTGGCTTATTGCCATGGCTGTCCTCGTCGTCATTGCATCATTCATCGTCTCCATCTCGTACAATGTTCCCCATGTTTGCAGTACTTTGCCACTGCTCTTCTCTTCATCATCCCCCGGCTTACTGTCTCGTTGCTACGGGGGAGCCTCTGAGGTATTCGTGAGCGTGAGCGTCTTGGAGTTGAGAAAGCCGTAGCTGACGACGCCAAAAGAGATGCGGTCCAAGTCGAAGTGGAAAGTGGGAGAGACCTGAGGTCTTGCCAGGAGAAAAACGCAAGCAATGGCACCCAGCTGGCGGGCACAAACAGACTCAGAGTCGTGTCCAGGCTATCCACCGATCGTGAGATCTGATGGCTTCTGCTTCAGTACACGTGCTTTAGCATCGCATCACTCCATGCCGAGGGAACCGTCAGGAAACCGGCCGTTGGCAGTCAACACAGGGTTCGATAGAGAAGCCGAGACGCGGAATGGCCCCGAAAGCCCAGTGCTATCTTGGAGGTGCTTCCTTGCCGTGCACAGTTTGGCAATGCAAACAGCACTGCAGCTAGCTTCCCGACAAAGTTGGTCTTGTTGTGTTTGTTACTTTTGGCATGCGCGTTTGCCTGCTGCAGGCCAGGGGTCCACCCTCCATGCGAAAATTACAGGCTTAGGCATCACTTCGCACAGTGCGCTCGCTCGCCGTATCGGCAACCTTTGTTCAGGCAAAGTGCCTACCAGCTCCCAGTAGAAGGTTTCCTGGAACTCCCCGAGAAGATCCGGGCCTTGGAGAACAGTGCAGTGCAAGAGTGGCCGGAGAATGTACTCGTGCCTGGAGAGCCTTCTCTACACTGTTGCACAGCGCAGGACTCAGGCGCCTGCACACCTCAACCACGATGGTGCACTGGCCTGCATTGGCTTTTCAGCTTGCAACGCCCGATGCAAGGCTCCAGGCTCCAGTGCAGATTAGCCGCCACCAACTTCCAAGCGGCCATCACTTGGCGTGAAGGCAAACTTCGAGCCAAAAGGCGAGTTGTTCGGCACCTCGGAGGCGAAGAAAACCCAAGGACTGACCCCCCTACCAACTTTTTACTGTCCCGCGAGAGACAGTAAGGTGCGAACCAGCCGGAACTCGACATCCTCGGCAGTCACGCTAGCCGGGCCGCGGCTCAGAAAACAGATCCTCCAAGCACTGCCAAGCTGCAATGTCGCCTTGATTGATCAAGTTGACCTCGTTTTGGCTCTGGTGGGATACGTGTGGCATCGAAGAGGAATGCCGATCCAACTGTCCCATGCCTCGTACTGGTGGACAGACTCCACAAAAATGTCGCCAACATCTAGCTCATCATAAGAGAAGGCAGCCTTGGGCCCAATGCCAATTCCTGGGTTCACGTCAGCAATACCACACTTGCCTTTCTTGCACGGAGAAGGAGAGGCCAAGGTTCCCTTGAGTAAGAGCGGCAAGCGCTCCGCGCGACCGACAATGGAACAGTAAGCCAGGCATTGGTAGTTCAGAGCCGCCTTCCACAATGGCAGGCAATTGAGGCTTCATGCAGTAGCGTCGCAACCGGTGCTTGGGATGGGTTCTCCCATGCAGGACAGTGCCCCCGACACAAAGACATGCAAATGATGCGCAAGCTCGAAGGCGCTAAACCAGCAGCCAACAAACATGCGACATCTCACAAACGTGCAAAAAAAAGGAAGCCATGCAGGGGGGGGGGGGGGGGGCCATGTCTGGAAAAGCACGTTGTCAGGATGCCCATGTGCCCGGCACCCGGGAACCTTCGGCGTGAAAGTGAAGGTGATGGCCACCTTGGACTTCGCCCAAATACGGCCGGAGAGCGGCTCAACCGCAAAAATCTCGTCGTAGAAAAACATTGGGTCCTTCAAGTAGTTCCGGAACGGAGCAACTGCAGCAAGATGCGCTGCCGTACCGGGGTGCCACAACGAGTGTCCTCCAGAATCGCCTTCGCGATGTTTTTGTATCCTCGGATTGCACATATGCGCCTCTGTGAGCCGCAACTCCTGCAAAAGAGTTGAAGCAAGCGACGTCTTTGAAGCGCCCCATGCGCCAGCTCCACGCCCTTCAGCCTGCACAGTCTGCAGATGTCTGCGGGCTTTTTGGAGACGCCTGGAGATTCCAAGCACCCTGCGAGGAGCACTTGGTCATGTACTCGTCTGAGGACTCGGAAAGCTGAGACTCCTCGTCGGAGTCTTCGCCTGATGCTTCGGTTCGCTCTCGAAGAGAAGAGGAGAGGTGTGAAGGAATGATTCCATCCGGGTGGCCCATCGAGCTCAACTCCTGCAGCGCTGCAGCCTCGTCACTCTCCTCCTGCTTGAGCTGGACCTGCGCTGTGCACTGCCAGTGCAGCCCTGATACAATGAGCCCTTTTGACGTCTTGGGACACCTGAACTCGTCTTCTCGAGCCTGGAGCTTGAGCTTCTGGCCAATCTCCTGGGGCCAGAAAAGACGTGCGAGCCGGCGTTACTCAAGTCTCCAACCGTTGTCCCACCAAGGTCCTCCTGTATAGAAGGGAAAGCACGCCAGCTAAAGTCCACAGGGATCTCCGAGTTGTTGTGTATGACTATTGTTTTCTGGGTTGAAAGCGCCTCAGCCCGCAGCTGACAACTGCATGCAGTTAAGGGGGACCTTGACAAGGTATCCCACTCTGTCTCAGGGCAAAAAAAGGCAGGCACAATGAAAGTGTCTTCCATCTGAAGCTGATTGGCCTCAGTTGGCAGCATAGTGCGTGGTGGCACGCAGAACGCGGTTGTAATGCTGCTGTACTGTGCTTCCCGTGCAAAAAACCGGGCGGCCGAGAAGGTCACAGACACGTTCCTGAAGTAAGCTCATGCAGTCTCTGTGTGTTTGAGGGTGTTGCCGCTTTGCAGCGTGACAAACTCTCAGGACTCTCTGTGCACCTACATTGCACGGGCTTGCAAGGGAGCTGCTCTGCTTTGCCCTTCAGGGCCATATAAGCCTCAATTCCATCGCCATAAAGAATGAGCAAGTCCCGCCTGGGCACGCAAGCAGTGTTTGCGGCGCAAACGAGCACCGCTTGCGGGGGCTGAGCTCGTACTGCTCAGCTTTGTCAGGTCTGAACACAACGTCCACCTGCAAACATGTGTTGACATATATGGGACAATGCGGCTGCGGCTGTCCCTTGCAAACCCGCCTGCATAATCTCGCCAACCTCCAAGTACCCATCCTGGATTGATGTGCTGAAAGGTGGTGGCACCTCGACTCAGACATCCGAAAGCTGTCCACATGACGTGGCTTCAGTGGTCGACCTTCAGCAAGAACTTGGTAGCCTTTTCGCCCACGTTCCGGACCTGACGCTACGCGCAAGCACCCAGTTTCGTCACAAGATGTGCACTTGCTTGGGCCCCAGCCATGATAGTCTTGGGCGACTCAAACTTCACCGGCGACACGCCGAAGTCCAGCTCGTCAGGCATGTCGAGCAAGGCACTGCATCCGGTCGCCCGGATGGGAACGATGAAGCGCTCCCGCCTCGCACAGAGAAAAGCGAAGGGCTGAGGCCGACTTCCAAAAAGGGAGACTCGCTTTTGCGGGACAAGAAGCTCCGTCACAACGACGAGGTCGTAGGAGTAGTCCTCAACCTCTCGGTCTTGGAAAGGCCCCAAGACGACCAAGTCACATCTTGCACATGCGCCTGCTGATCCGGGGTAAAGCGTACCTTACCCACATCATGCGCATGTAAGCAGTCTCTCATGACACCGCACGCCTTGATTTGGGTGCAAGCAAGGCACCGTGTACGAAACCTCCATCCCTGGTGCGACCTTCCAAGGTAACCAGCACAGACCCTCCCTCTGCTAATCTCTCCTCCTTCGCTCTGACCTTGTTGTCGCCATCTCCGTTGATTTTGCGGCCTTTGCCAGGCAAAACCTTGAAGAAGGTGCTATCTGGTTGCCTTAGGTCGGAGATTCGCGGCACGTGCACGCAGGCACTTCTTCGATGCTACCGAGATGCAGGATCTTGACCTTGAGAAACAGCGTTCTACCATGCTTTCGTGGCTTGACAGAAATCACTAGTTACTGGACGATTGGGTGGGAAACCCTTCTGGCCACGTTGTCTTGATTGCGCAAGCAGAGGGTGGCATCCAGGTTCTGCAAGCTTTCCTGAACTTCGCGATGATGACGGCTGCAACACACAGGTTGTAGTGCAAAGGGTGTCGTGTCATCGACCGAGCGGCGAAGTTTGCGAACCGAATCTCCGGCGGAGTTGCCTTGAAAAGCGGCTCTTCCACCGGGACGACCGAGTCCACCTGCAGGCACCATTATTGCACTCCGGCATGAAGTCTTTCGGAAGCATCCAGTAGACACGAATGAGGCCTGGTGGGTGTAGTCTCCCATATCCTGAAACGACACTATCCGGCACGTCATGTTGTCCTCCAAGGGTCTGCAATGGAACCTGCAAAAAACTCTCCAGCTACTCGTGCCCTTCAGTCCAGCTGACTGCGAGATGGAGCCGTGAGGCCACCCGGCTGCCGCGCTGCCGCGATGACCTGATCCAAGAGACCCCCACACATGCCGTGAAAGTAATGCCAGCCTGAAGCTTATCTACTGAATCGACTCACATACGAGCCCGGCAGACTGGGGAATAACCGCTTCGGAAGGCGTGAGCACAGCCTCGCTCGGCTTTCGCTTCAAGCAGGATGATGAAGACGCCGGGGCCAGAGTACCTTGCCATCGTGGGTCGCTACGCTTTGCTCATCGTCGCTTCTCTTCGGCCAAGCTTCTACTTCCCAGCTGCAACATCTTTGAAGGTGGAACTCTGTCGCTGGAGGTACCCCTGGTGCTGGCACCATTCAGAAGAAAGCCCTTTGCGTTGTTGGATTGTCTTGCACCCCTGGCCTAGCGCTAAGAGGTGCGCCTGAGCTGGCATCGCTTCATGGACATAGGTGCTGACTGACTACCGCGTGTTCGTTGAGGCAGCAACCATAGCCGGACAGGGGTATCCGCTTTGGGGTGGGACCCCGGGCGCTTTGCGCACCAGATCTCGACCCCTGACTCTGCAGGGTAGACATGCTATGTTACCTCGGCGCAGCGAAACGAGACACAACAGTACACACTGTTACACTCTCACCACTCTATTCTTGAAACCGTTCGAGCCCTCGTCAGGCCCCGACACGCAGCCCGCCAAATTTTATGCGGGCCGCTCGGGGCATACAGGTTGAGCTCTCCGGCTCTCCCGGCCCCTAAAGGTTTGATCCTGTGACGGCGGCGGAAAGAATGCAGTGACTGTCGCACCTGTGCCTCTCTCGCTCTCTCCCTCTCCCCTGCATTCGGCTGGCTGAGCCCTGGGGACGGACCCCCTGGCTCTGTCGCGCATCCAGCCACAGCTGACCTCACCAGCATGCGCATGATGACATATGATAACACATTTGCCATGCCAATCCTTGATTGCCTTGCGCTCGTCTCTGGCACCCGAGCCTTCACAGTACGACCAACTGAGATGAAGCCGCCACATAAAGCTCACAATTAAGTAACCAAATCCGCCGGCTCTTCATCTTCACTTGCTCGAAGAAGCTCATCGGCCAACATACCGCAGCGGACACTGACCAAGGGGGTGTGGAAAGCATCGACCGAGTTCGGCTTCGACAAAACCGTGTGCGAACCCTGCTCCACTCTTTTGTAATTCTTCGCGTCGCGACAGTAAATTGTGAAGGCACACACGGTGCACAATCTACTTGCAGATTCTGCAAAAAGGTCAGCCAAATTGGAGCACGATTACAAGCCTACATGTGACCCAGTGTGCTTCAGCGAATTGGAGCACAATTATACAAGTCTACACGTGGCCCAGTGCTTCAGCGAAACGTCTGCTGTGCCAATAGCTTTTCAAGCGTGCCTTCAGGCGCATGAACGGCCTAGGCGCCCTTTCTTCTGGCTAGCCAGGGATGCTTTGAAGCGTATGCAGGGAGTCTTTCGTCCTTGGAGATGCATCCGCTCAGGAGGCATCAAAACTCAGCTCCGACAATGCCAGCTCGCTCTGGTTGGCCCTGCCTCCAAAGGCCTTCGTGGTGGTGCTGTCGCTAGGGCTGCTAGGGCTGCTAGGGGCTTCATGAATCCCAGTGCCCACACGAGATGCGAGCCTTGAGTAAGCCATACTGAAAGGAAGCGACAACTGCAGCCAAAGGCAGCCCGCGGACGCACTCTGACACCAAGAACTGCAAGAAGAGGTGCTGCACATAGCCTCTGCACGCACAAGCGACGATCAACGGCCTACTTTCCCATTGCAGCTTGGAAGCCGCAGCGATGCTTCGAGAGGACGTCCGTCAGTGGGTAAATAACACAGGCCGCCACGACAGCTACAGCAAGTCCGAGCGAACTCGCCTGAAACGCATGGGGAGAACATTATACTCTGACTGTGCTACGACTTGGTAGTGGCAGTCTTCCATACTCGACATGCAGCATGATCCTTGTGCTGGCCTTGGTTCTCCATCTGCGCTGGACACGGGAAGCCGCCAAGCTGCAGCGGAAGATGCTCAGCGCGAGGATTCGCAAAACCGTCTCCATGAGCATGGATAGACTGGAGATCAGCATGACACCTGCCAGCAAGCACATGCGGGACTTTGGCCTCTATAGGCTGCCAACGGCCGCCTGCCATGCTCGGGGTCTCCCCATCTCCAGACCCATTGTCCGTCAGAGACCCTGCGCCCACCCTCACGCTGCTTCGGTCCCATTCGCCGAAAACATCGCCATACAGGGTGGACACGAAGAGCGTCAACCCCCAGCTGACAACCAGGACCTTACCAGCATCTAAAGACCTAAGACAAGACACTATCCAACCTCACGCTGCCGGCGAGTGGCGAGGCAACGGAAGCCGAAAGTCAGGGGATCGTTGCACCAGGGATTCCACGGGTAGGTCACGATGCAGGCATGCAGAATCCACGCTCTCCACGACTCCAGGGCCGCTTGACTGCAGCTACGGCTACCCGCCCACTGTCCCAACCGGACAGTCGAAAATCACTAAGAGACATTTTTGTTCACTACATTGCTCACAGATTTCATCGGCCGTCCTCAGCAGGCTTGGGCGGCCTCTTGCACTGTAGAAGCTGCGGTGCCCAGGCTTCATCCCATGGGCGGGCATCCCCGGTGCCTTCACCAGAGCCCTCGCGCTCATCTCGGGCCAGAGATCGGCTGAGAAGGAAGCCGCAGCACAAGAGCCTCGGCTGCAAGTTTCAACACTTTTTGAGCCAAGGCCCAAGGCCTTGTGAGGAAATCATTCGGATTTGACCAGGCGGCGAAGCTGCCGCCACTGCTGCAGCCACGAAATCCGTCGGCTTCAGGAAACACTCCTCCATGCAGGACTCGACGCCGAACAGCGCCTCCACGAACTCCAACTGCACGCCCACTTGCCCGTCCTGCCACATCCCCTTGCACTCTTGCAGAAGATCGGTTCCTTCAACCGCCTAATCTTCAAGAAATGGACGTCCTTGTTGCTGACAATGAGCAACGTCTCGTTCCCTCCCAGGGGCTGGTAGAAGTGGAAGTCAGGGCACTGCTTGCAAACAGGCTCCACCTGCAGGATCTGCACAGCTTCTGCACACGACCGGCTAGAGGCGCACAGAAGAACACCCAGCCTCCTGGATCCATCGCTGCCAGTGCAGCTCTGCCCGGGATCCTGAAACCACGTAGAAATCCAGCAGCGTTTGTTCCTGTCACTGCGCACGGCACAAGCTCAAACAGGAATCCGCACCCGGCTCCGGGGCTTCTCTGTGCCTTCGATGTGACATTGAACTGAACAGCACCTGGTGCCTGCCAGTTTGGGTAGACATGCTGTTCCATATCTGGGTAGCAGCCTCTGGTGAACGGCACATCTGCGCCTGCCAGCTCCATCGAGCCACGTGTCCTGCGACAGCGACATCTCTCAGGCGGGGGGAGGGGGGTCTCCATGTCCAAAAGCGGTGCCTGGGGGAAGCGGGCGCGAGGCCGGCTTGAGAAGAACGTCGATCAGCGCCCAGGCGTGGGACGGGAAGGCCATGGCCATCACGAGGCCAAGCACCGCCATGGCTCCGAGCCGACGTTGCCTCTCTTCGGCTGAAAAATACTTCTGACTGCTCATGTGGCTCCGTGCTCACTAGGACAGGCCAGCGTCGCCTTGCTGATTCAGACCCTGCTTGAAGAAGCTTTTGCAGAACGACGAAGATTCAAGAGCGAAGGTTATCAGAGCGAAAGCAGTGAAAGCAATCGCCTTCGTCGGGGAATCTCGACACCGCAGAATCCTTGGGAAATGGGCAGCAGGGCCTCGCACGGCAAGACACTGATGCCATCAGGATAAACAATTGCAAAGGAGCCCTCAGAATGGCCTCCAACCACCAGAAGCAGAACACAAGCCGCAACGGACCTGACATGGCTTGTGCACTTCTCCGCACTATCCTGCAGCTTTGTTTGCCTCCTGCACCACTCCAGCTCCCGATGTCTAACAACCTCGTAACCTCTGCTGCGGCTACGTCCAAGCAAGGCTCCTGACTTGATCACACACTAAGCATCACGGCTCTCTTCTTTTTCTTGCTAGCCGTCTCTACAAGCCAGAAACCAATGAGTTTGGCGAGCGTTCGCATCATGACAGCCACACGGCCCGCACGCGGAAGCCGAAAACCCTGGTTTTTGCCAGGAATGCCCATGCCGAACGGACGGAACTTCGTTCTAAAGCTGCTCTAGCTGCTTCAGGGTGGGACCCTCTCAGCTCTGGTAAACATATAAGGGCCTGAAAATCGAAATCGGAATGGGCTTCCGGGTGTGTTGTATTATCACACAATGGCGATCTGTTGCACAAGTCCTCCATCTACAGTAAGCAAAGAACACGCAGCAGGATGCACAGGATAAGGGAATCATCGTAGGGCCACGTTCCGCTAATGCTGCAAGGCGGCGAAGCTCGCTTTGTTCATTGCTTCCAAAAGGTCTGGGCAGGAAAGGATGCTCCAACAAGTTGGCAGCATTAGATGGTTGGTCGGTCGTGCAGCCTGGAAGATATGTCCCGGAGGGGAAGGTCAAGTAAATTTCGGCCCACTCTGGTCCATCAGGCCCACTGCATCAACTTTTCCTGACTGCGATAGCTGTCCATCACTGTGCACGGGCTGCAAAGTTGGCACAAATGTGTGCTGTTCCAGCGACGATGCCCGACAGGCAATCCATGGTAAGTTGCACGTCTGTCAGCCATAGCTTGCCAAAACCCGCATCAGCATCAACTGCTTGGAGTCTGTAAACGCCTTGCATCGGAGTGTGGGCAATCTACGGTTTTGGCTGGTATCTACCCTGGTTGCGAGATGCCGCAAGCTCCTCATAATTTTTTCTCATAAAATCCTCACGGGCTAAGATAGCAGTCGTTCGCACCTGTTACAACATGCTATGCACTGGAGCGGCACTTTCTGAAACTGCCTCGAAAAGCCAGACAGATTCCACAGTGGCAGCATAGGAGCCTACGTCAAAAAAGGCCCCAAGCCCAGCCTCTGCCAACGGATGGCTTATGCCCCATCTGCGACTGTTGCTGCAAAGTTGGAAAGTGCAACTCCAAGGTCCACCGTTGTGCATGTATGACGCTAGCTTGGGGATCGGCAAAAGTGCAACTAAGGATGCCCACGATTTCATTGCTGCTGGCTTGTACATCGGCTTTCACTTGAAACACTCTGCTCCACATGTTTTCTTTCTGCAGAAGCATGCGGCAGGAGCGGAAAGAGACACATAGAACACCTGCGCCTGCAAATGGTACACCTCTGCATTTACACCTGGATCTACATCCGAGCGCCGCTGGCACA